AAAGATGTGCTGTACACAGGCTATTGATGGCTAAATTATATCAGAAGGAGAGACTCTGGTAACTACAGAACTTCACAAATCGGGAACATAACCCCAGAATTTTGGGATTGCATTTTTTTGTGCTGCGTGCTCCCCTGTATATACGGAGGAGTTGGTCTCCATGAATGCAGACTGGGGATGCCCCAAGAGCCCCGGTTTCTGTTACCACTTTGTGCTTTGATCTCTGTGATAGGCAAGAGGCAGCAGTGGGTAAAGCAGCACGAGAGGCCTCACGTCCAGGAACCCAGCAGCCTGGGGCTGCCACAAGCCCATGTTAGACTGGTCGCCTGGGCACCCGCTGTCGCAGCCCTGCTTCGCTGCAGAAACCTCAGCTTAATGCTCTCACCCAGTCTTTGGAATCATTAACCTCTCTTGCACAGTCATCGCTATTCTTCTAGGGTAAAAACCCTGAAGTCAGTTTGCTGCAGAGGTCAAAGCAGAACTTGGTCTCCCCAGCTCATACTCCCAAGTTGATGCCACGCAGCTGCTGAGGGCAACTGCTCACAGGCTGAGCTGGCACCACCTCCTCTCCAGATGGAGCTCAGGGCTGCTGCCATCAGCAGTTTTAGGAAGCACTGGCAGAAGCTTCCCTTGCTGGTCAAGACCTTAGTTGAATGTTGCATCTCTGCTTTCGTAAGCTAAAAATAGTTGTTTCACCTCTTTTCCTATTAGGTGAAATGTCCTCACCTAACTGGCCCTGATGCCAAAATCTTCGAACAACTTAATATTGCTGTTCAGAAACCCTAGGACACCTAACCAGACATTGGTACTACAGCAGAGTGGCAACCAGAACATCATTGGTAAGATGAATATAAGGTAATTTTTCTTAAGTTTAGCCTGTTAAAGCAGACATAACAAAAAAGTAAGTAACAGAATGTATGGAGAGTGTGACTTTCGTTCCACATCTCCTACAACAGCCAGGATTAGAGGCTGAAGGAAGGATACGAACAGCTATGAGGTAAAAGAACCTCAAGTGGTTCTGAAAATGGCTGCAGAATGATTAGCAGATCAATGTACAATGGGCTAGCCACTATTTCAGTGTTTTAAGGTGCAGGTAACAAGAAAGGGATAAGGAAGAAATCAGGATAAAATACAAAAGAAAGGCAGCGGTGGACATCATCTTTTTAATTTTTTAAAGACAGATAAAGCTTCTGTTAACATAAAATATTTTTTTCTGTTAACTGAAGAAGAACTAAGAACATATTCCCTTACAAGTTGAATGCCTTGCATTTCAAAATTGGAAAATATTTCAAATATATCTTTATAAATATAAATGTAAAATCAAACCTCTGCTCTTGACAGTGGTTTATTACTCTCAGAAGGAAACTGTTCAATGAGTTTCCTAAGAGTGGTTGCTGGACTTCAGCACTGTATTTAAAATGTCAATTGCTTTTTTCGCAGTTGCATAAAAGTCAGCAGAGGATGCAAGATATCCCTGCTTCCATATATCCTACTCACCATATATCCTACCCCCAAACATGCACAAAAGACTCAGTGTTTCAGTTCCTGAGGAATAAAATTTTTAAACACAAGAATGTTTTGTCCATCAGTATTTAACTATAGATACTGTATATGAAGATACTGTATACTATACCATATGTATAGTATACATAGATATATACATTTCCTGAGACAGGAAAGCCTTTACAAAGGATATAGGGACCCCTGCCTACACGTTTCCAAGCTACAGAGCCTTTCTGCTGGAGTGAGAGCCCTGGGTGCTGACACCATTTTACACTTGGGCTCTTCAGAAGATGGAGGTGATAAAGAATTCAGCTCTGCATTGCAATAATCATTTTTAAAAAGGGAAGGCTTATAACAAGCTTAGGAAGTCATCCAGCTAGGGTTTCCTTTTGTGTCTTTATCTTACTACATAAAGATATTTTGTAGCGCAGAATCCTGGATGAACTGAGGATTGCGAAGAGTTGCATGTGTTATGGTCCCACCTGCTTTAACCCTCATGAAAATTCTCAAAATCTGTTTGTAAAAAATTATAGATCCCAGTAAATTACAAATCCCAGGATGTTTCTCCTTTAATTCAGCCATGCATCAATGAGTGTTTGTGAACCAAAATCATGTTCATACAACTCTATTTAGAATACTTTTTGCTACCATTCTGATCTACTATTTTGGCTCTAAGTTTGCTAATATAAAGAGATTAGCTTTGATTTCATACAAACAAATGAGACAGTATCTGTGTGGTCTGTTACCAAGGGGGTTCTAGTGCTTTTCAGCTCCTAGAAATCTCATTTCCCTGAAGACTCCTGCTCGAGCAGAGTGTCCTTCTGCCCCTAGGTGGCTGCAGGGTCAGCTGGTGCTGACCCTGCCCACACTTACGGAATAAGGGAGAAAGATTTGGAGTCACAGGGTATAAAGTTCTCACAGGGACAAAGTCTACCGTCCCCAGCTACAAAACCGTACCTGCTTTTGCCTGCCTTAAGAGCTAGGCAAAGATGTAATTAAAATATCTTGTGAGTTTCGTAGAAGGATTCATACCTTTACTTTCCATAGTTGTGCTCTTCTAAATTGCAAATATATCCATACCTGCCATTACAGAAACCCATAAATATGCACTGAAAAGTCTGTATAGCAATAAAATCAAATATACAGTGTATTCATATGATCTATTCCTAAATTCTCAGGACACAGATTGGCAATAGCAATTTCCATAGCAATTCTTACTCAGGAATTCCTATAGCAAATCTCCACCAAGGGCCAGGCAAGCCAAAACCCAAAGTCAGAGCATCCAAAAAATGGCCTGAGGCTGCTATTGAAAACTGAGGAAAAATTCCTCTGTATCTTAGCAGAAAACAGAAGTGCTGTGGACAAGCACACCGGAATCATCCACCCACCTTGTGGTTTGATGTCGTTTTAACATAAACAGGCCCCTGCAGAGACCCAGCTCTGTCCATAACACCACACATTTGCCACCATTACACCCTGCCTTGTAGACTTCTGCAGTCAACTGAATTCTGACTTCAGTACTTTTCAGATTGGGGGTTACAAAGCACCTCAGCTTCCCACACAGATAGAAATGTAAATGATGTAGCAGAGTATACAGTGAGCCTTCTTGTGGATATGCAAGTGCCTCAAGGTATTGGGCACTCATTCCAAAGTATTATTTAGAAGTCAGATACAAGAATGCTGCATTTAATCCACAAGTAGCAAAACAAAGAATGAATCTCTCTGAGGATGGGCCTCTGCAACATCTGTTCTACCACTACCCTTCAGTGAAGGTCATTGCATCTGCAGGAGACAGAGGTGTGTGTGTCTGTTGTTCCACAAGCCATGAGAGCTTACATAGTAGTCTGTTTATTGTTCATGCCATGATCAGAGGAATAAATCCTATTCCTATAAAGAATCCTATAGTAGTCTGTTTATTGTTCATGCCATGACCAGAGGAATAAATCCTATTGTTGTTTGCTGGATTCTTTAATTTGTCCATCAGAAAACCTCAGGAGCTAAATAGAAGCAGCATCTACCAGGAATCCTTCACAACTCCAGGGTATCATTGCAATACTTCGGAGAGGAAATAATCCTTGTCTGAAACAGAGCTTTATGAGGTGAGGTTATTGACAAATCTAATAGAAGCAGCATCTACCAGGAATCCTCCACAACTCCAGAGTATCATTGCAGTACTTCAGAGAGGAAATAATCCTTGTCTGAAAAGGAGCTTTATGAGGTGAGGTTGTTGACAAATCCGCAAGAACAAGGTCTTGCAACATTCAGGCTTTTTTCCAAGGGAGAAGGATGACTTGCTTCTCGACAGCATTCCCCTTAGGCCAGCGGTGTAGAGGTGTGGGGGACAGGAGGATCGACATACGCCTGTCCCCTGGCAGGTACTTCTGGAAGAGGCAGTTGATCACTGCCTCTGGGTATCAGCGGGCTAGGACAGATACTGCAGGTAGTAAATAAGGTAGTAAGTAAGGTAGTAAATCAGGCTTTTCTGCTGAAGAGTTGTCAAACAGGTGTAAACAACAACTAGGATTTCTGGCATTTGAATGAACACAATAAAATAAAAGTAAGATAATCCTTTCATTCTTTTCTAATCCTTCTCTGGATTCTAAACAAAATTCTTAAGTGAATGAGCAATTCCCACTTCCTTGATAATATTTCATGTTCTAACCCTGAACTGCACCCCTGTTTGTGTGCTCACTTGCAAGGGTGTCATGTTTGTCATTCACACACATGTAAACACACTTAGTGATTCCTTCCTGATGAATTTTTCTTCCCCATTCCTACAGAAATGTGATGTCTACATTCTAGCTACCTTAGAACAAGTGAGTCTAACAGACAGCTCGTCATCCAAGGTGGTTGTAGTGGGGTCCACGGCCTGGTCTATGGGAAAGTATTTGCAAACAGTCTGGACAGGAATTGTGAACAAGAAAATTATGTCTTCCTTAATCACAAAGGGTGCAGTTTATTTTTTTAGTTGTGAGTCCTCCATGGGCATGTGTCCCCCCCACACAGGTGGCTGATGCTATTTTGTCTGCTTCTACTACAATAACAGGTCAGTTAAAGCTCATGGCCTTATGTTAGCAGCGATGCTAGTTCAGCCTAACCCATGCTACACACCCCCACACAATATGTGCTCACTCTGGTCTCTCCACTTGCCAACATCCCAAACGCATGAGCTCCTGCGATCCGTGACTCCACTGGTTGCCAGCACTTAGCTCTCTCTGTGCACACATGCACAGAGAAGGCCACCTCGCCTAGGAAAAGTCAGAAATAGTCGTTCTAACAATAAACTGCTGAGATCAGGATTTCTGTTCTAGACAGAAATCAACCAGTCCAAATAAATGCTGTCTTCTATTCCAGCAGCCAAGCTCAGCTTTTGAAAACAAAATCTGTGCTGACCCAATGATAAGGAAATCCCGTGCATACTTACAGGGTATAATTATACTGCAGTAACCAGAACAGTGACCCTAAGCTTGTAATTTACCTTGTGTTTCTATTGGCAGATCATCCTTTGGGATCACATCTACAGCCCTTGGTTTTGGGTCTTCTGCAGAACACGCTGCTTTAGGAATTGCCAACACTTGTGTCAAGAGATCTCGAGAAAAACAAAATGAGGATAGGTCGGACTTGGAGAAACCAAATGGAAAAATGGAAACCAAATTTGGGCAAATGGAGAAACCTGGTAAAATGACCAGTCCTAGGAGGTAGTTCTCAATGTGCCAAAACCAAATGCATGGAATTCACACAGGCAGAGGGAGGACTTCTCACCCTAAAGTCACTAAACAAGGTGGAGTTCCAGCTGGAAGCGCAGGGGGAAAAGCCCATGGGACCTCCTTTCTGTTCCAAAGACAAGACAACACATTCCTCCAGAAGCAAATGTGCAAGGCTGCTACCAGTTTTTGTTTGCAATGACAGTTGCCTCTAGACTACACTCCACACCCAAACATCACAAGAAGACAGAGTAGGATGGCTGTGAGTCACAACACTCGGTGATACACACACGAACATTTATTTGCCTGGGAGGACAGGTATAGCAAGTGGAAAAAGATTCCTGTTCTGCAACACACACACCACACACAAATCACAACTTCAGCCCCATCTGTACTCAGTTCTTTAGCTTAGGTACCCAGAGTGTCCATGGCACAAAGCAGAGGCAGCGAATGCTCTTCGTTAGTGCCACTTGGCATCTTGTCAGTCACCAAAAGAGAGATGTAGGAGCTGGACTTCATCAGAGTAAAGAGCGTGCAGAGCACTGGAAGGAGTCATCTGAAGGACAAATGGAAAAACTGAGGTGGATGTAAGATTGACAAATGACAGAGAGGAAGGTGTGAGAACAAATACTTGACTTGTTTTACACAGCAGAATAAGTTGCCATTTTGAACTTCATTCTTTATCTCACCTAAAGGATTCCTAATCTTTCCTAAGAGCAGATTCTTATATAGCTTAGGTATTGGCTTTGAAATGTCACCTAACTTTAATTCAGCTCAGTATTTTAATAGAACAGCTTGTGTGTTCCAAGGTCTTTCTGGACAGGAGCACTTTGCTGAATTCATTGTGCTTTTGTGATGTCTAAAATGTCATGATTTGCAGAGATAATATCTCTTACATTTGGAGTAAACAGACATTTAGGAAAGGAATGCAATTCTGATTACAAGGCTCATCTAGGCATAGCATATATCAAGCTGGGAGTGACTTCTCTGGGTGTAACTAATATTACTGACATTCTGAGTCCCTGACAATACTCAGAAGAGCTACGATTTTTAGTTCCCAGGGTTGTCGTCGAATTTACACTGTAGATCCTTCTTTAAGATGACTTCTGTGGAGTCAGGAGGACTCTTCCTTGTTCCAGACGGATATTCCTGACCCTTTCTGGGAATTCATTCACTGTGGAGCAATTTCACTTCCATCATCTCCATGGGGCCATTTTAATACCTCATGAATAAAGTGGATCTAAAATATATATGTGTAAGATGCATGGATTTTGATGGTGAAGTTGTGCAGCTATTTTTTTATACACACATTCTAGCAGGTATATACCTGTCCCTACAAAATAAGGAAAACCTTCACCAATCAAAGGCATCCTTAAGAGGTCCAAGTGTACCTTTGAATGAACCACCAGATCACCACAGATATTTTAGAACCTGTAAAAATACTCTGCCCAAACGTATAGATGTCAAAATCTATACAGGATATCATTAATTATACCATATGCTGAAAGGAGCTCAGAACTCCCACTCTGTTTTCCTAGAATCCTTTGCCTCTGAATAGCTCCCTGGCATTCCAGACACATTATCAGAAATAAAATTCCTACAGCAGAGCTAATGGCAAATGGAATAAAATCACACCAAGCAATAAATGTAAAACTTTCCAGTGTAGATCCCTTTACTCACCAAAGGTTTTATGGCCCATTAATTACAAGGCCCATTAATTAGTTTCTGCTAAAATACCACTAACAGGAATTTGCTACCTATCTCCAGCACCTTCGAAAGTCTGCAACTTTCCTCTTTGTCGACATGCTTTGTTCCACAAAGTCTTGCTGCTTTTTTACAAATAGTCTAGTTGAGCAGTATTAGTATGGCTATTCCCAAAACATACAGCTCCCTAATTGGTCTGAAGTTTGATATTTGCTGCAGCTGTGTCAGAGCTGAAGCGTATATAAATGGTATCTGTCCATTGGTTTAATGAAAGATACTCTCTCCCTACGTGGCTTGCCTCTGCTACCAAATACAAGCCTTCAAACTTAGAAATACAAATATTTTCAGTCATTTCTGAGCTTTACTGTAGAAAGATTAGATACAGATACTATTCCTACAGAAATACTATTTGGAGGAGCTTCTCAGCAGATTCAAAGGGAAAAAAGCACCAAAAGATCTAGCAGATGCATGTTGGTATTCTGGTGTCTTAGTCATGAGCGCCGAGTATGAGACCACGAGAGACATAACAAATGCCACAAATGTAAAATGCTGAAGTATTTTCACTACTATCCAGCAAACTCAGGTTTAATCAAGTTAAAGCCAAAAGAAAAAAAAACTTTATATTTTTTAACATTTTAATTTAACATTTTTATTTAACTGTCTGTTGCTGAGTCTTACAGAGCAAGAGTGGGTGAAAGGATAAATTTGCAGTTAAGAACTGCAGTCTCAGTCCAGGAGTATATAGTTTCCAGCCCTGCACAATGTGTCCACAGGACTCCAAGCAAGTCAGCTGCATCTCAGCCCCAGACCTTGACATAAATATCACAGTAGCACAGTACATAGAAATTATTGATATTTCTGAGACAATTCACCATGACTTTGATACAGGCCTAATGATTATCCATTATATATTTCTCCAAATTATCAAAAAATTCCCAAATACACTTGGAAATTTTAAAATAATTCCATGTCTAGTTATGTAAGAATTTAAGGACAAAAAGATACTATACTGTGGCCAGTGACATTTTGGCAAACAGTCTGATCACTGCAACCTTAATCACAGTTTTGAGAGACCTGTAGCCGTAGCTGGATCTCTACTGCCTCCAGTTCCTCCTGACTCTGCTGTTCAACAACCAGCTGGTGAGATGGTTTTTCATTCCTTCAAACAATATGTAAGATTGTACAGGCCACATCTGTGCAAGTCTTTGAGAGAACACAGGTAACAAAAAAAAAAAAGGTATAGGGCTTAACATTAGTCCAGGAGTATTGGTACACTGTTGAAAAAGTGTCGTTTGAGTTCATTTTATTCCAATTTATATTAATCTGTGCAAGTCTTTGAGAGAACACAGCTAACAAAAAAAAGGTATAGGGCTTAACGTTAGTCCAGGAGTATTGATACACTGTTGAAAAAGTGTCATTTGAGTTCATTTAATTCCAATTTATATTTTTTTTTTAAAAAAAGAAGAAAGCAGAGTAAGGAATGTAAACAGTTTTAAAACTGCTCTTAAAAAAAAAAAAGCTGTAATTTCCTTGAAGACTTTTTCTGCCTGGTTTATTGCTTTGCTAATGTGCATCCATTACACAGTGAAATACTTTCATTTCATTTGATGCAACATCAGTTTTCTTTGTCCTTACAATGAGCATTTCCTAGCATTGAACTGCACTGACTTGCAGAGTACGGAGGTAAATCCCAGAACTTCACCCACAGGCACGGGAAGGACTCTTGGGATGGGGTTAATCTCAGCTCACTTAAGACATCCACTGTGCAGCAATATGCATGTGACCTTATTGTCCAGATCGCCTTTATAGCCTAGTGGGGGAAATCATGCATTTTGGGGACAAAACTCCCAAAGCTGGGAAAGAAGTGGCTTCCCAGAAACCCTTTTTCCTTGTTCATGGGCAACTCTTGACCAAAAAAATGCCACTCTGCATTTAGGTGAGGCTGGTGGGTTAATTTGCTTCCTTACTACTCAGTAGTTGAAAGAAAAACTCCAGATTTAGACTTCAGCAAAAATGTACTGTTGACTTGGGTTTGTGTTTTCAGATACTCATGGAAAAACACTGAAATTCTCTGTTCTGCTTTTTGTTTCATCTTTTAATCATTTTTAATGAATTGCTTGAAGGTATTTATTTCTGCTTCTTCACTGAGAACAGAAATTTCCATAAACCAGACCTGAGGTTTATATGAGCTTCAACAGGAGCTAGTGCACTCGCTAATTAACACTACAGGAGAAAGTGCAAAACACGCTGAATACTATGAAGTGCAAAAAATAAGAAGGGCAGCAGATTTGTTCTCATATCACTGAGAGATTTTTAGGGCAGACTGGTTATTTCAACATAACTATGTTCTCCTACTTGGTACTATGTTTATATGTGTGCATCGAAGAAGTCAGTGGCAGAAGCGCTACCAGAATGATATGGTTAAAGAAATATCCTTCCCACCATCACATGAAACCCAGTTGAATTTGCAGCATCTTGGAGGAAGGAGAATCATTGCTTGAAAGTAGAAACTGTTCCCCCTACTCTATCCTACTGTCCTATTCGACTCAAAAAATATATACATACAGATGTATATATCTATCTATAATGAGCAACTGTATCAGCCTCTAGACAGGAGCCTAGACCATAAAAACAGGCCTGGCAATTTGCTTTCAACTTATTTCTTCAGTTCTCAGATTCTTAGGTGCAAAGGTTCAGGCCATTGCTTTCAACTTATTTCTTCAGTTCTCTTAGATTCCTGGGTGCAAAGGTTCAGGCTGACTGGAGCTGAGAAGCACTTACTTTGGTCTGGGTTTCTTTAAGCCTCGGTAGCACTGTGAAATAAATCCATGGTGACCTATCCACGTAAAGAAAGGTGCCAAAAGTCCACATCAAATCAGAAATGTGGAAATAAATGGTTTTTTTAGTCTTAGATTTACGACTTACTAAATTCACCTAATAATATAGTAGATTTGGAGGTTTGGGGTTTGGTATTATTCTTAATATTTCCCAGAATTGTATTTTGATTCATCCTTCCTGGGAAGAGCCCATTCAAGTTGCCAATGACCGAATAGTGGAAACTATGTTGGGGAGGGTTAGGATCATACTGCTGCCCTGGCCTCTCCGCTTTAACTGATCCAGCTCCTCATGCCCATTTGTATTTGCTCGTAAGGTGCTGTGGTGGTCAGAGATCTCTGTGGTGGCGTTTAGCACATGACATCCAAAACGACCCCAGATGATTGCAAATGCACTGGAAGCCTTCAAAAAAGCTGCAGCGTACGCGGGACAGCAAAATCATCGACTCTTGTGAC